TAATAGTTGAACTTTGGTTGATGTTGGTCTCAGTGTCAAAATATTAAAAAAACCACCTAGAGCTAATATTGGTAAAATTCCATTTTTGAAAAAGTGGTAGCTAACATTTCAATAATTGGTCCAATTTTAGGTATTTTGGTACGTTTTGAACTCTCTGATTGATGTTCTACAATCTTTAGGGGGGTAGTGGATTTTATCGTTCTTTTAGGGGCCACGTCGCATTAAAAAAAGGTTAACTCTGTTTTTTTAGAAAAGTTGGAAAAAATGGGTGATTTTTGATCGCTTGTAAAAATTTTTCCATTGGAACGATTTTGTTTGATCGACGCAGAATTTTGTTTTCTTTAATTTACTAAAAAAATATTCATAAAATATGGACCGTTTACGAGTTTTAAGCGAAAAATTGAAACTCTTTAAATATAAATATAAATAAATTTAAATACATGTTATTTGGACCCAAATGGACCATTTAAAATGATAAAATCGTTTACCCCACCGTTTTCAGGTCAAAATTATCTGCATACTGGACTATAGCGCATATACCCCAGAACAAACAAACTTAGAAGTGAACCCTAAACGGGAACATGAGTACAAATACAATACGTTTGGAGAACACTCAATAGATGGCGCACAGTTTGAGTGCGTGTGTGCGTGTGCGCCAGTATATTAGTCGAATTTTGAATTTTGATTGACTGCTAATTATGCTCTATTCCGATTCATTATTACAACCGTTCGATGATTTTCGCTTGCGATAAATCTCAAGAATACCAGTTTCTCGTTTTCATGCGATATTTTACTACTGTCGCACGCGATATTTGGTCGAGCGAACGCAAGTACATATACTGTCCCTGCTGGTCTTATGTTTTTGGGGTGAGGAAATGCATTTATGGTAACAAAAATAACCTGCGTATATCGGAAGCGCTAGAGAGACTTCTCCACCACATTTACTGAAGACGTCGCGTCGCCTCGTGAAACCCAAGATATCCCAATGTTTTAATATATAAACTTATAATAATATTTTATTTACTAAAAATACGCATTAACAAAACAAAAATCTAAGATATGTTAAATCATGTAGGTACAAAACTTATAAGGCTGTGAAGGATCGTCAAGTAAATCAATGACTTTCACTGAGATTATGTTATCCCCACTGAAAAGGTATTTCACATATAAATTCAGTAGTAAATTATATCGTAAGTATACAATTTAGACCGAGAGATAACAGCAGATTTTGTGTGATGATTAGTAAACGTCTGTCACCGCAATTTTCTCCTTGGGTAGGAAGGTCATCAGTCAGTCATATGTTAGAACTAGCGTATAAACGTATATCATACATCTGTTTGACAACACAACAAACAAAAGTGTATCAACAAACATCTACCACGAATGCATTTAATTAATACATTTGGTATTTCATATTGACAGATGTTTGTAACAATTTTTGGAAAATTGCATAAGATAAAAAGTCTGCCAATGTGCTAGCGCCCCATTATTTTTTTATCTCCAATATTATTTTAAAAATTGGTGGCAAACGTTTATTCATAAACTTTTGTTTGTTGTGCTGTTAAAATTTGAAAAATTACATAATAGAACGGACTGCTCAATAGACGTATCATATACGTTTTATACGCTACTTCTAATCTATGTAAAGAGAAAATTGCGGTGATAGACGTTTACTAATCACCGCAGAATATCTGTCGGTATCTCTCGGTCTAATATCCTTACCCTTTATTTGAGCAATTCCCCATGCATTGTTGGCATGCATGGGAACATGACAGTCCATGTCCCTGACAGCTGCACCGAAGGCTCTCGAAGCGTGTCCCGCAGTCACACATGTCCGGAGCACGGGCTGTCTTCGATACTTATGGCAGCTTGGACGACATAACCTTCCAGTGTCTTACATCAAGACTCCATTCCCTTCCCCACCCTTCAGGACTTTCCCCTTTACCTGATTTGCACAGCTCAAGATGTAGCTAGCGACATACGGCGGTCGTGTTTTCTGTGTCCTGCAATGATATATTTTAGTATCTTTTTAGTTTATATTTTGTTGCTGAACATTTGTGGAACTCGAATGAACTTACTTGCAGCTATAACACTATTCTTCCGCCAGCTTCCTCCATATGTTCAAACAGGTAAATCCGTTCAAAATATTTGAATTTTTTGGAATATCTTGGGTTTCACTGCGTGCGACATATTCAGAAAGTGTGGTAGGGAAGCCTCTCATGCACTTCCGATGCCCGTAGGTTATTTTTGTTATCATAAATGAATTTCCTGGCTCCAAAAACATAAGTCTATACATCTTACACGATCCGTTGTGCCTTAGAAATATAATTCGACCAAAAGTCGGCCATTTTAAAAAATAGCCGCTCTTAACGGACATATTGTATGCCAGTACATTTCTAGAGCTACCATTGGATTTCTCGTGTTAAAACTATGGTTAAAATCATGTGAAATGGACACCCAGATCTGGTCTCTAGGCTATATTTAGTTTTTTCAAAAATTTTGCAACCCCCACCCCCTCTAAAACCCACACGCAAAATAGGTATGAAGTGTTCTTCGGGCCAAATAGTCAAATTGTTCTAAGGAACAGCTGTACCAAGTGGCACCTTGGTGTCAGAAAATGCAGTATATCCTTCAAAAATTGCCGTTATACCGCCAGTACTAGTACCCACAACTCCTTCTTCTCCCGCCGGCGGTACTAAAATAGCTCAGATTGCATAATCATGAGGGAACCATCCCTTACATATTCCTGAAAAAATTACACGAATTATTTTTTTCTATTTGATGAAATTGGCTGTACTTCGTCGTCCGCCCGTTCATCACACGTACTACTTCTACACGAATGAACCGATTTGGGCGATATGGGGCTGATTTGAAAGGGCTTGGTGCAATGATCACGTGCGTACCGATAATTGTTTATATTTGGTTTAAGGGATAAGCAATGCTAACTTTTTATTTATGAAAACACTACCAATATAAGTAAAACCATTGAATAAGTACTTTAAAGAACTTCTTCCAAATTTGATAAATATATACCTTCCCCATGAAATTTATTGTTGTAGAAAATAGTAAATGCGACTAGTTTCGCCAATAAAGCATCTTCAGGCGTTAATTATAAATGAGTTGTTTAAATTGTGAAACAATTGGTGTGAATACATATTTTTGACAAGTGTTGAATTAAATGGAGAACAATATTCGGAAACAACATAATAATAGCCCTACGGGCACATAAAATTGAGACAAAACAACTAATTGATTCGGTGAAGCCGAAGTTACGAAAACATAGTTTCAGGGTCGGTTACGCCGAAACTGGAACAGTTGAAAACGGAATAGATGGGGAGGTGCTAAATTACATTTTAAATTATAGAAACATTTTTAAGACTAGAGCCTACTTTAAAGAAGTATACCGCCCGTGTTAACTGATGAAATCAGGAAAGCTCCCCATCAGGATCCTGTCGTTATGCAGGAAAGTGAACCACAAATTTGGTGCAGGTTTCATTACCTCTTTAAAATTCCAACGTTGCCAGATAAATGCATTTTAATGTTATGTATTATTGTATACAGCCAACTAAATAAAAAATTGATGCAAATTTCCAATTACTATCGCTTCCATATAACGGATTGAATACTGAAATATTCGGTGCAAAAAATCCGATACAACTGAATACCGAAAGATTCTCGACATCTTCACGCATCCATCATTTTTACCACACACATTAAGGGGATCATTCTCTCCCACCAGTACAGTATAGGAATTGGTTTCAAGTGAAACTTACTCGAGGTGCCTACATACAAAATTTCATTTGAATATCTTAACTAATAGAAAAATTGGATTGCGCCAATACAAAAGTTGGAATGCGCATGCGCAATATTTTTTTGCATCTGCATAATTATTCACTCAATATCTGCTTGAGGTTGAGTGTATGCAACACACTTTACACAAACTTCAGGTTTTCAAAATATCGATTTGCGCATTCGCAGTACAACATTCTTACTTACGAAAGCATATAAATGAAAGGTGATACATTGTCACTTGGAACAAAAGAAATTTATAGGTAGGTTCACACCTGCAGGTGCACCTGTCAATTTTACTTGTCGCAAGTGACTTGTCAAGCCGACCTGGGAGTATGGATGAGCAAAAACTGTCAGTTTACGTAACTGATAAAGTGACTTGACACGTGAAAGTCGAGAGGTAGCAAGGTGGATATTTGTCTAGGCATCTGCGGCACCCCACCCTTCGTCGACCTGTCAGTTGTCCACGGTAGATTTCGTCATTCTGAAACATTTTTTTACCAACTGAGATAAACACTGTAGATGTGGATTGAGAGGTATCTTGACAGGTAGACCTGACAGGTCACCTGCGACAGGTAGAATTGACAAATGCATCTGTAGGTGCGTAGCTACCATAACACCAGTTTCAAAATTTGGTTTTGCGCATGCGCAGTGCCAACTTTCTTATTTACGAAAGCAATTAAATAAAATTTCATTTGAAGTGAATGGGCCAAGGATCTCATGCCTAATATGATTTCCATACAGTTTTGTCCCAGAATTAAGCCCCCATTGTCGATGGGTGCGATTTTCGAAAAATGAAGATGAGAAATAAAAAACTGAGTACTAGAAAAAATGCGATGTTCAATCTGTACTGCACTATTCGATGTGGATTTTACCTCACGAGTGTGTATGAACTATGAAGTAGGTAATTCGATAATGTTAGAGTAAAGAGAAATTATCAGGAGCATCATCCAAAGTTCAAGGCAATTGCTGTTTTTCTATGGCACAGACAAATTGCTATTAACACATGTATATTACTGCGTCATTAAATAGACGGATTAAACGCAAATTAATTGGATGTCGGTAGTTCCTTCTAGTTTAATTACTGTTTTTGTTAATGTAGAACCCCTTCAAGGATTTAAATTACAAACTAATTCTCTTTCATGCACATTTACACGTGTCCATACATTTTTTGCGAATTCATTTTGGAATTGTGTAATAAACTGTATCAATCTCAAAGTATATACTTTATTCAGCTACATACCTACTAATCTAAAGAAATCTACCAAACTAAAACACTGGATTATTGTATCTAAAGATATTATCACTCAACATTTCGTACTGTTTTTTAACACTTTGGAATAGAATCGAAAATAGTGGACCGACCGCCGAGTATAACCTTTTGGGTTGTATAACGCTCGTTACACAGTACTCGATGGGGGATAGGGTGACATGTTGGTAAAAATCGTTCGATGACGGTAACAGCAGAACGTTTGACACGCACGGCACTCCCACGTAAAACTCACTTTCAGGGCACGTTTGGAATCGGACGTCGCATGGTACGTAGGTTATGGCACAGTTCTTCGATCCATTCTCGCACGAAATCGTCGCAGATAAATGCGTTACGCACATTATTGTGCCGTTCGTTAGGCACAACGCGTTCGTGTTAGGTAAACACATCACCTTGGACGTGTTTGTCGCACAGTTTCTTATGTTGTTTACCTGCACTTTGTAAATGCTGGATGCCTTATGAGGGTTCTTGTAGTAGTGTGATATGTCGTAATAGTAAGAAAACGTATCTCCTTTGGTAGGTTGATGTATTGTCTGTTTGGTGTGTTCTGCCTTTGAGGTGAAATTTTGTAAGTAGTGGTGGAAAAGGGTGAAATCCCAATTTTGAGCATTGGCAATGGGATTGATGGTGGTTGTTACATACATGGCCTTTCCATTAGATGTGTGGTCGACTATCATAGGCGGACGAGGTGGTAACAGCACCTTGGAAATGTTTGGTTTTACATAAATGGACGGTGGTAGCGTGGGTACCGTGGGCTTTTTTGTAGTGGGATGTGTTGCTTTCGGCTTTGGTGGTTTTGTTGTTGGCGGTTTACGTGTTGACGACGGTTTCAAGGTGGTCATGAGAATCAGTGGCTTCTTTGCTATCTTCGAAGGTGACATTGTAGTGACGTACCTTGCAGGAGATTTAGTAACTTTCGGACGTGATGGTTTGATAGTTGATATAGGGTAACGTTTCGGCGGAGGTGTAGTGTAATAGCCATAGGTGCGATTGTGCACATTTTCAAATCCAATTGGACGATGTCCAGCGGAAGATGTATGGTTATTTGTACCGACACTGTTAAATCCTTCAAAACCAATACTGTAGTTACCCGCTTTGGGAACGCACTCGCCGCTTAGAACAAGCGAAACTATAACTACAATGAGAGACTGATAAAATTTGTCGAATTTCATACTGGGAGATAGTACCGCACTCTTATGTAGGAAATTACTGAAACATACATACTTATAACAAGTGCAGCTTTTATGGCTAATTATGTTTCACAACTCAAGGTTAAGAAGATGCTTATGTTAAACAGTCTTTATTATTATTTTGTTTAGTTTTTACTATGCCATGTGTTGAAAATGCGAGTATCGTTTACTAAAAGTATGGTGGGAAGCTTTTTTTAAGCTTGTGCCAATTATTTATGTACTACGGCAATTTATCTCTGGCAATGAAGTCGTCATTCGGTAACAAAAACCGATTCATGTTGAAATATTAAACCTCTATTGCCAAATTTTACCTGCTATACTATTTACACCCAACACCTCTTTTTTTGAATTACAAATAAAGGAAAACAATTATGTTAAGCAGCTTTTCTGTCCAATGAATTTAGTACTGTGGATCAAATTTGGTCAAATACCCCCTAAGCTTTCGCCTTGGGTAGCTTCAGTAGCAGTTAGTCAAAAGCCTTTCAAAAATTTCTGTTTTTGGCCTCTATTTAAAAATTGTCTGAAGATTGGACCATTTCTTTCCAGCTAGCCTAAAACTGCTCGCCTTTTGATACCGATTGACCAAGTTCAATTGGCAACGGAAACGTTTTTTTTTTATTTTTACAAATAGCCTTACTCTGATACACGCGTTCTGCATAAAAACTGAAAGGTTGCTGCGTAGTACGTTTGTTTCTCACAATGTAGTGATTTGAGCTTTATCTTGGCGGCGTATATGTAATGTGATCCCATTAGTAACCAGTGCACACACGTGTACGTACAAAGACAGAATAGAAGATGCAAATGATGTTCTAAAATGAATCACATATGGGATATAACTAGGGGAAATGCTAAGCTCATCATAAATTGGTTTTCAGAATGTAAACCTCACACCTAACTAGCTCTCTAAATTAGAACTCTCCCAGAATCCATCCGAAACCCGGCACAACAAAAAATTTAACTTCAAACTCCAGATTCTAAAGCAAAATTCCAAAAGGATCATTTACCTAAATTTTGAAGACTCCTGCAATGAACTTTGAGTCCGAATCGGCAAAATTAATTATAATTAAGTATGAGACATCTATCTGGATCGTTAAAGGCATCGAGCAAACATACGATTTGCATGATTTTACACAAACGAAATTTATTCTATACACACAAACGAAAGTTAACCTAAAATTCTACTTATCAAAATTGGACTACAGCTTCCGATTAAACAAACCCCGCATGTGCATTCGAATAACAAAATCAAGAAATCTTAGACACTTATACAGTTTTCGGTTACAAATCCCAATAAACATCCGGGTGCACAGAACAGTAATTGCGAGAGGAAATAACGCAATTAACCGAGACTTTCTCTTAAATTCTTTTCTAAACAGGTTGCAGAAACGTTGATTAAGTCTGAATTAACAGGTTGAACGCAAATACACGTCCTCGAAATTGAAAAAAGGCTCTTTTTAAACGCTAACTCTGGTATTTAAACGGACTTCTCTCCTTAAACAAATCGAAATTTTTCTTCCAATTACCTCAGCGTGGCAACGCGATGAACCAATTAACACTTTGCTACAGGACACTACCTTAAATCAGGTAGGCAGATTTTTCGCGGAATTATGTCATCCAAAATACACAATTTACTACGAAATCAAGCTGTTTTTTTCCGATTAAGAGGGCATCCTTATCTGTAGATAATTACACATCAATATTAGATCGAAATAAACGAGGGACCCAATAAATCAAATCTGAACTGTCACATAAGTGATTTAATAAAACAAATTGATAAGGAAAATTTCCCTATCCTTAATAATGCTAGGAAATAACCTTTTTTAAAACCAAACAAATAAACAGATACCTTGCTAGATATGCAAAATCTGTTTGTGTTTAACCGTAAAAAAAACCTCCACTTGAAATGGACATTTGATTGGTAATTAAACGATCTGTATTCACTTCAGGTGACTGGACCTAAACCTCAACGTCCAACCCAACATTGTTTAGACAGCATTATACGCATGCCTACAAATATGAAATCGCCCTCTATGCTTTACGGTGTCTATTACCAATTGAAGAAAACTGCTGCGGAATCTCATCGAATGCTTGTAGAAGCTTACGGCGGGTACGCTCTTGATGAAACACAGTGCGAAGAGTGAAGGTCAGAAGTGGTCATTTTTACGTGAGGAATGAAGAACATGGCAAGCCGCTGAAAAACTTCGAAGGCGACAAACTGCAAGCTTAGATGTTTACTCTCAGGACGGTGGACGCAGATATGACCTCCGATCGGAATACAAAAATTGATATGAAAAGATATGCATACACTCCGAAGAGATTCGCGTATTTCTCCTTCATAGCGTTCAGCATATGTTAACTTTTTGTCCAGCAGATTACGCAACTTCTCTCTATACGAAGACTTTACTTCTAACCCTTCACCTATTGCATTGAGGGCCATTATATTATAAATTACCATAATTTATATAGGTACTTACATAAAAGCTAAATCGTTAATGATCCATCTACTTAAACAAAGGATAAAAAAGCTGTCATTATGTGAAATAAGATTTCAATCGTCACCGTTTAATTTCTCTAACGACCGCACTACGACTTGAGAATTTTGTACAGATGTGGCCCCATCCCTCAAGAGAGTGTCTGTCAGCATCGTTCTGCTTACAAATAAAACTTTTTTTCCTAACATTTAAACTACGTCGCAATATAGAATATTATCCTCAGATTTGTGCACAAAAATTTCCCCGGGTACAAAGTAAATGGAGATTGAACGTAATGTCCATTAACCTAGCAGAGCAAGGTCAGCAGAACACAACCAAACATATTGCATAATTAGGTGCTAATTAAGTCTCCTATTCCCGAAGTAAATGCTCCTTTTTTTCAATTATGACATGTTCTGCCAGGTTCATATAAACTGAACGTTATGAGGAAATTATTGCCTCCCAAATTCAAAAAGAACATGTCATAATTTAAAAAAAGGAGCATTTAATTTGGGAATAGGGCACTTAATTAGCACCTAATATGCAATATGTTTGATTGTGTTCTGTTGACCTTGCTCTGCTAGGTTCATGGCCATAACGTAGGTATAAGGCGATTGCTTCCAAAAATTCGATGTAGCTATGTAGTGTGTCTATATCTCAGTGAATTTATTTGGATAGTACTCAAGCAACCAAACATAAATCTAAAATCGTAGATAATCAAGGAGCAGTACCATCACCAAAATTAAAAATAAATCCTTTAATAAGTACTTTATTCATAGGAGCAGGAAGTACGCTGGTCGTCATGATAATAAATTATTGACGCATAGGCCCATGATCCCACGATCAGGGTTATTGAAGTTATAGAGGCCTCGTACTTCAATATTTCCTCGCCAGGAAGCGTATTGGCATTCTGTACTATTATTCAGAGCAGCTCTGGTCTGATTCGCAGTATACTATGGCTTCACGTTAAGAGCAATTTGATAATACATTATATACTGCGATTCAGAGCACCGATGTGGTTTAAACTTTAGAGTTCTCAAACACTGTATTTATAATGGGTTTCTATAAAGCGCGTCATACACTTACAAGAAGTTAGTGTGTTTTTATTGTTAGCGTTGCAAGAAAAGTATATTTTTTGTTGTTTGTGCGTAATCAAGGTTCTCAAACTGCACTAAAATGATCTATAAACAGGTATTGGTTGAGATGTGCAACGAGAATACGTTTTCAATGATCGGATATTTGGAACTAGTAGAACATGGATTTAAAGCGAAATTAAAAAAAAATGGGTGAAGATATTAACAGTGTTTGGGGCGACCAGTGGTTTGGTTAGCTGACCTTAGTAATAAAACAAACACTAAACCACATCAGTGCTCTGAATCGCAGTATATAATGTATTATCAAATTGCGCATAACGTGAAACCATAGTATACTGTGAATCAGACCAGAGCTGCTCTGAATAATAGTACAGAATGCCAATACGCCGCCAGTAATGTGTCATTTCCTGACTTTTATGTATATAACTATTACGTTAATTTTTCTGTGAAAATCATGTTTTTTGTTTGTACATAAATAAAAAATAATAATAATGTCAGAAGTCTCTAACGTTGTAAATGTCAACCCTTTTCGACTGTAAACATAAAATCCTATTCTTTCCTGTTCCCGTTCCTGTTGGAATTTCGGAAAGTGTTTTACGACATCAGAAAGCTTCGTGGTCATACGTAATTGATACGTTTGACCGTTACATGAAGAAATTTTTACGCATTAGCTCAGTCGCGTGAATTTTGTTAAGTACTTGCCATGTTACATGACATGTAAGATTTATTGGCACTTTACTTTTTGATAGCATTTTATTTGTTTCTTGTTAGTTACGTTAAACCTAAACCAACTTGTAATTAAAAATGTGTGCGAGGCCATATTTCGGCATTTGACCCGGGGTGCCATATTTTGCCAGTTTAGACCGTGATGGGGGGGGGGGGGGGGTAATATTTCTGTAGTCGTTTGCAACGGAATGTGTGGTACTTTAACGTCTTAATTGCATGACAGATGATGATACTACATTAACCCATATGACCCCGCAACCAGGACTAACTACCGAAATATGGCACCCTGGCCAAAATATGACTTCACACCTCAGGCCAACTATCTAAGTTTTGGAGGTCGGTTATTCAGAATTTTTCCACGGTCAAGTACAACTTCAAAATTAGGCGGAGAATTTCCCAGGGTAAAGTGTTAGTAATACCACAGATAAAATACCCAAATTTTATCTGTGGTAATACCCACAGATAAAATTGGGTATTTTATCTGTGGTAATACCTACTAACTATGGAAATTGAAGTACTCGGTCCCATGTTTTACAGCTGCTGCAATTGCCCTGGCTTGTTGACATACCAGAAAAATTTTCAATAGACATGTTAATTGTATCGGCCAAAGCAAGAAATGGTCTGAGATATGTATAAAACTTGGAATAAACTTAATGAGATTTTTATTCATAATTCCTGCAAATTAACGATCAACAGGCCCAGTGCAATCGCATCTGCTATAAAACAGGGAAGGAGAGGAGTTCGTGAACAAAAACAATTTGTTCAGGAAACTAACTTCGAATTGCTTTTATTGCGGTAAAAATAATAAAAAATAATAAAGATGTTTTAATTAAAGTAGTTGTGCATAGAAAACAGAAGAAGATATTTTAGCAACATTAAAGAGAAGAGAGAAGACAGATTTCGAAAAATCTATATTACCGCAGATCGTAAAAAAAGCTATTTTTCCTGTGACGGGAAAAACGTTTGACATTTTATCTCTTTTGACAGGTAACAAAATGTCACTTTTTATGAAATTACTTTTTTCCCTTTTTCTCGTATATACTCGCATATACACATAAGTAAAGATAGATATTCAATTTTTGTGACGCTACTTTCACTGCTTCTACTAATTCAGGGGAAATCTGAGAAAATTCAGAATCAGACACTTTCAACTTTATATCATTCAATTTAACTACTAAACAATCCTTAAATTCGAAATGACAAACTTGAATTGACAGATATTTGAGTAAAGGTTTCCTTAGCAACGCGAGAAGTACAACAGCGGAGGGAGACAACACAACCTCGAGCTAAAAACTAAGACTTTTTTCCCTTGTATAATGAATAAATATTATCTTGTCAAAAACCGTGTATACCTTAAAACCCAGTTTTTGGCGATTTTGCAAAATTTTTCTATTGGAATAATATTTTTTCTTTTTGATTATGGAAACATACGTCCTTACGAAAATTTTGCTACATGTCGCAGCTCTGTACGATGAAAAAAATAGTTTTTTCATCCGCCTGAAGAAAGGTTATTTTTAAATCGTGAAATCTCGGAAACGGCCCCAAAAAATTGTCTTCTTTTTTATTATAAAACCAGCTATGTTCCTTTCAAGTAATTCATTTTTTTTTATTCTCTATAACTTTTAGATTAGAGATTTTCGCCTGAAATTAATAGTTTTGCCCCAAATTCCAAACACCACTTTCAACCCCCGGAAAAATTCAGCTGTTTTAATTACTTTTCCCCAATTTCTAATCATTCCACCTGAATGAAAATTCCGGTTTGGATCGTGAACTAATTTTTTTTTTAAATAAATTATTTTAGAGCTATTTAGCCTGGACTAAGAACCAGTTTTAGTTGCTTAGTTCGTTTTCTGTTGTATCCGTGGCAGATTCCCTATTTTTTTTGCAGTTAAGGATTGTTGCAGGAAAAGTGCAACGCTTTAATCTCAACATGTAGGACCACGGATTTGTTTTTGTGTTTTTCCCTTATACAGATTGCTGTCCCCAGCTCGCAAATCTGTTTTCCATTATCCTGCATCTTCTACCGTTGGAACTATGCTTTCTTCGGCCTACTGAACCATTAGCACCCTGTAATGCTAGGTAGAAGCCCCTATCGGATCAACTGGATCCAGGTTTTTAGATAGAGGTTTTATTATACCATGGATATTAGTCCTCCCCCTCCTCCTTTCTGATCCTGGCTTGGGACACGCAATAGCCGAGTTAAACAGAAGAAAACGCGCAAAAGACACAGATGAAGAGATTGTGCAGGAAAACAATATTTAGCTGTATAAATTTGAAATATATACAAGATTTTCCAAAAATCCCTGGGCGAAGCTATAAGATTAAAACGAGCGAAGAAAAAATCTGAAAATTGCTGGATCAATCGGAGTCATAAAAACTAATAATAATAACAATAATAATAATTACACTAATCGTTACTTGATCTTAATCCATGCGATTAGTTAACCAGGCTAGACCTGAGTTCTCACAAGAAACACCGACCATAATAATAATAATATTTAATTGTGAGAAGGTGTGAATTACACTTACACTCATAAAAAAAAATGGGAAATTACATTAAACATTAATAATAATAGTATATAACAAACAATATAACAAACAAACTAAAAACAGGCAGGTAAAAACAGTAAAATCGCAATAAAAACGCTAACTAATTACATAATCTACAACTAGCCACAAACTCGTTAAAAGAATAAAATGCGCTACATAGAAGAAAATTTTTTATGCGTCTCTTAAATATGGGGTAGTCTAAAACCCTTATATCTAAGGGAAGGCAGTTATATAAATATTTGGATTGGTACTGTTCTCCTTCTTGTGATTTTGACAGTCTGCATAGATCAGTACGGATATTGTTTTTCTGTGATGAGTATCTACATTTTTGTTGGTCTAAAACATTCATACACTGCGGAGTTTTGCAGTGAAATCGAAGAAGTGTTAGTATGTTAGTCGTTTTGTAAACATAATAAATAAGATGACAATAGCAATGTTGGATTCTGGCAATAATGTTAATCTAAATAGTACATATACGAAACTTTAAAACAAGCAAAAACTTATATGAAATGTGTTTTCTCAATTTTTCTCATACGATGTATTTCTCAACGACGACTGACGATTCCCATGGGAATCCACTCTGGTAGTATATTTCCGAGAACTTTGTTTACAACCGAAGAGCTCGATTGGAGGAAGTAGTAGTATCCAGAGTGCATGTCAAATTGTAGAATATTGACGTACACAAGCGGTATTTTTCGAGCAAATCCAAACCTTCTCAATTTGTGTATCGCCGTTTGGATTATTTTATGCGAATTCTCCGCGACAGTTTTCCATTTGTGCAATTTGGGATAACCGTCCACTACTGCAATTATAGCTGTAAACGTACCTAATTTGCGGCTCATTAGTGAAATTTTGTAAGACATGACAACCATTCATTTGTCCAAATTTATTGAGGGAAGTACGCTTTACTTGCAATGGAAATTGTGGAATTGTTTGTTGGGAGCTATTACTTCTGTAATTAAAGGTAGCATATTGGTTTTAGTTTTGAAGCTACTAATAAGAGACACGCATAAAGTGATTTGCTTAGAGGCACATTTAAATAGATCTACGCAGTTTGTTGTGCTATCTAAATGAGATAACCAGACGCCCTCTCGCCTGTTTACTCAAAATTTGTAATCGCGTGTTTGTCATGCATAAATGCGTCTATATTTAACATGTAATAACGTTTATTTAAAGAAAAGTCTTAAATCTACATTTACAAATCAAGCAGATGTAATGACCGTACTACCATTGACATTTTTACTGAACTCCATCAGTAGCTTGGTGTGAAACGCTCCTAATTGAGCAATGAATTTGAAAAGATCGGCCACCGGCGAGCTAACCGTTTGTTTAACCGCCATCGCCGTAACACACAGGTCGTAACTACGCGGTGTATCTTGCCATGCTCCGTTACTGTAGTCGACACGATAATTGAGGGTAATGTTCGAAACACACGGAACGTAGTAATCCATGTAAGTTTGATTCCCTGCCAAGTTGCAGGGTGGACGACCTTCGCAATCGATTCTGGTGTAGACGCACGTGGTCCTTACCGTGATGTTGTTGCTGTTGGTCATGTTGCATGGGCTGGTGAAACTTAGCGGCGTGGTACACATGACGGTGCCATTTTTCAGGCACAGTCCGTTTGTGTTGGGGGCGCAGAAGGTGTCGGCGGTTTTCTGATCACACTGCACCACATTGTCGCCGACAATTTCGAACTTTTTCGGCACCTGGTCAGGGTTTTGGTAGTAATGGTGGATGGTGTAAATGACTGGAGGGGCATTTGGGCGCTCTTCTCTGTAGTAGTAATCGTCGTTTCTGTACGAACCTCGGTTGTCATTGTTGTTGCTGCTAGTATCATAAGTGTGGTGATGGTGGTAGCTGTGACTAGGAGACGACATTCGTCCTATTAGATATCCACCAAGAAAAGAGGTGGTGCTTCCGAGACCGCTGGAGTGGTAAACCGGGGCAGAGTACACGGGGGTATAGACTGGTACGTGGTGAACGAATGTGGTCGTGGCAATTGGCGGTCGGTATTGCGGTTGAATAGGTGGTTGATAATATACGTGGCCACTGTTGTGTACAATCGTTTGTGGTTGATATGGACGCTGAACTACCGGAGGTGAGGGATAATGAGGATGGTACCCCGACGGGGGTTGGACTGGGTACGGTTTGGCATTGCTACCCGGCGCATTTAGTGGTGGTGGGTGAGAGGGCAATCTACTGTGCACATTTTCAAACCCAATGTCATGGGGTTTACCTGAGGGAACTGATCCAGGGTGATTTGGCATCGGCGGGCCGACTGGTGCCGAGGGCAGGTGACTTCCGGTGCCATGAGTGTTTGTTTGGTGATGGATGTTTTCAAATCCAATGCCAGGTTTGTAAGATGGCGGGGCTCCAGAATGCGTTTGATGGGCACCGGTACCTGGGCTGTACGGAGGTGGGGCTCCTGAGTGCGAATTCGTTTGGTGATGCACATTATCAAATCCAATTCCCGGTTTAGGAGCCGGTGGGCCTACTGGCGCCGAGGGATGGTGCGTACCCAAAGGATTTGAATTGGTTTGGTGGTGAATATTTTCAAATCCGATACCTGGTCGGTTGCCAGTGTTTGAGTGACTCGGCGAGGGATGTGAAGGAGTATATGAGGGGTAATGACTCGGCGAGGGATGTGAAGGAGTATATGAGGGGTAATGACTTGGAGAGGGATGTGACGGGTAATGCGAAATGCTGTGACTTGGGGAGGGATGTGAAGGTGTATGTGAATAACTGGGAGAAGGATGGGAAGAATACGAGGGTGAATGTGAAGGTCGCGAACTGTAGCTGGGTCGACTACCACTTGATCTGCTTCCACCACTTGATCTGCTACCACCACTGCTTCGACCACCACTTCTTCCACATTCTGTTTGAATCACTAATACTGTCAATAGAAACGTAAAACATAATTTTAAACACCTCATATTTTTAATCGCGTATGCGACATAAACAAACGTTTCCGTTACACTAAATATCGTGGGACGCCGCTCTCTTTTATACATTTAATGTTAAGTGCTCGATTGAAGAAGTTAAAGGTCGCAGCTGTAGTGATACTGGGAATTTCTACGTCACTAGTGTTTACAGTGCCGATTTTCACAAAAATTACTGACGCATCTTCCTATTCCTACTAAAACGAAATGTATCTTTGAGAATAAAGTGTGCCTGTGCTCCTGTAAAAGCAATCGATTATTGTCAATTACGTACGAGTGTGACTCATCTCAAACAGAAAAATCGAAAATTGGAACTGTATTGCGTATTAGTTGATTGACCTGCAAATCTTCTTTGATATTCCGTTTTTTGCAGTCCGTTAGTTGACCCTGATGACTCTTTTTTTATATATCAATTTTTAAGAGACGAATTAGATTAAGTAATCAACCTTGAAAATTGTACAACATGTTTAAATAGTTTTGTTACGTTTTGACATCCGGGATTCATACACTGACAAAAGGAGAGTTTTTCGATGCCGCTTTCACGTTTTTCATGTTGATTTTATCAGATACACGAGCATGCGAGTTTGATGAAATAAGTTTCTCGCTTTCTGTGCCATTAGAGAAAAGGAAAGCTTTTTAAGATTACTTTGCATTTAAGGGAGAATTGACAAAGAAGCCTTGGACTTTTTGAAAGTTATTCGATTAAAATCCGAGAAAACCGGCATCCATCTGAATAGCTACCAATTTTGTGAAAGGCTTAAGTGTATAATTAGTTTCAAATCACATCTGCGGTAAAACTGCACAAATTTTACATACCTTAAAGGTACAAGAATTAGCTCACAGAACACAGACTGCTTGCTATAAATTCTACAAACCTCTGCACGGCACCTTTTAAAAATTTAAACCTTTCTAATGTCTCGCTTGTTTTGCTACGGTATATCGAACCTATAGCAAACTTCCCTTCGCTTGCCAGTAGCGTATGTGAAAATTTTGCAATTTTATTATAACTACAGGGAGGCCCCCCATAAAGTTATATAAACTCAATTTTGAAAATAGCCCCGAATCTTGAGGTGCTATCCGGAACTTCAATGGAACTCAAAAATTCGAACCAGAAATAAGGTTCATTCTTGTGTTCATTAGAGAAAGTTTTAAAACTCTTGGGGGGCGTATATAGAAAAGCGTCCTCATTGGGCCTCCCGCACACTGGCGAAATCGGAAAGCATTAATCAATTCAAAATGTGCGAGAAAAACCTACTTGACTCAACAACTCGAAGCGACATATTAAAGATGCATATCTTACGAGATTCTCTATTTCGACCACCGTTCATATTTATTTTTCTTCTGCTTTTGCAAGAAGCCGTTAAATGGACGGTGTATTATCTTTTTCAAACGAAGATAATTTATTTACAAAGACGGTGATTTTTATAACCAAACGTCAAGTGACATTTCTATGGCAATCATGGGGTTACGAATACAGTATTCGGGTATAACGTCAATATGATTTCATTTTATTTCCCTTATTTTTAAATCATATTGCAGATATAACGAAAAAATGAAAAAAAGGTTTTCACCGGTTAGAGTAGGGATCTTGGGTCTACGATGGTAAGGGTGATCAGATATGTCCCAAAGTTTTCCATGAATTGACATTGTAAATATAATGAATAATCTTTAGTTTTTTTCCTTGTTCATGTGCTAATTTAAGGTATGTTTTCTAAAACGAATTGTTATTATTTTTATCTTTAGTTTCTAACTTTGATTTAATTTAATTTACTCTGTGTGCACTTACCAGTTAATTAATGTCTACATGTTCTGTAATTGGAAGGTAATTTCTGTAAGACATTAAATGATTATTATTATTAAAAAATAAGTTATGACATATATATTTTTATGAATAAGAAACTGAAAAATTTTAAAATATGCGATATTTGCGATCTTTGGTTAAAATTTCAAAATAATATCTCTACAAATAAGAAAGTTAGTTGAATTTCGCAAATTAATCGTCAAGATTTTTCTTTGCTCGGGCGCAAGTGCTATAAGCTACCAAAAGCAAAAAGAACGAACTAAATATCCTGAAAAATGTAATACAGCCCGAGATACAGCCCGTTATAAAAGCTGAAAGTTTCTCAGTGCATGGTTCTAACACAGGTAAGTACGATGGGATAGTACCTATGTACTTTGGGCCATCGTGGCTTTGGTAGGTAGCAGGTACCAAAGATGTATAAAATATAAACTTACTTACGGTAAATTATAAAGCGTAATTTTTGTATATCTTCCTTCGGAAGAATATAAGAAATCACGTCTTCTATTGTCAACACTTTACATCGTGGCAACCCCTTGCCAGACACCTTTCAAGTTCAAGTAACTGTACTTCATAAAAACTGAATTTTATTTGTGTTACTAGGTTAACTGTCTTGCAACTGAGCAAACATGTTTTTTATAAAATAGGAAATTGCAACCAGAAAACTGTATCATAAAAATTTATACAAAATTTTAAAAATGATGACTCCGACTAGCTCTTAAGAGTGGTTTAAGGATGCATCTCCTTTTGTTACATTGAACTTTCTGTCGCATATTTTTGTTGTTGTTTCATTGACAGATTTAATTATAGATAAATAACAATAAAAATTGATAATTAGCCTTTTTATTTACAATTTTTTCTTCGACGTAGAAGACCTGGATTTCATTAGGCTTAAAAACCCGAAGACTTGAAATATCTTCTAAACAACGACTCTTTGGACTGAATAAGCAGTGGAATACACACTCAATTCAATTGGTTTGTTTATTGAAACTTAGTTTAAATTTTAGGAAATCCTTTTAGGTAAACTTTCTTTAGCGGCACGAATAATGAACTTTAATATTATCTAGGATTTTACTAACAGTTTTCTTTGTTGTAATTTCGGGTTACACATCAAACTCCCTTTTTCTTTATTGCACGGCGCCAATACGTGGTGAAGATGATGAACGCGTTTATTTTACAAGGACGGACTGTGTTCTTTTCGAACTGAACTCGACACGATTACGAGTTTCTTTCTAACTCCCACACTGAGATGCGTACCTAAATATCCCTTTGGCGTAACTTTATACCACTTAATCCCTTGTGAAAATGTGAACTGGCACCTTCTTGTTAACTACTTGTCACGACTTATGCACGCAATTTACTTTGATTCCCGCGAATTCATATTCACTTTTTTTAATAAATACTCCGAAATTGAAACTTGGACTTAATAATCACGCAATTTTTCTTTTTTCCGTCATTTTAAATCGCAATATAGCAATATGGCGCCATTAAGAATTATTAATGACGTAAAAAATTAATTTTTTTTTTCTTCATTTAAAATCCCAATATAACCAATAGATGCCGCCAAAGCGAGAACTACGGCTCTAGAAAACTCTAAACCGTCGGCTTCAGGCTAGAGGAAAAAAACAGACGGTCAAAAGTATCAATTACCTTTGCCCGCGAAGGTGTCTGATGTAGTAAAACACTCTCCGAAATTCCCACGGGAACGGGAACCGAAAAAAGAGGATTTTCTGTTTTACAGTCGAAAAGAGACTTGACATTTAGATAGTAGGTTTCTTTGAAAGCGTGTAGGTGTACTGAAGTTCCCAATGGAACGGGTAAAAAAGGGGAACGAGATGCGAGAAAAAACGGGATTTTCCAAACGGGAATGCTAGTAATTAATAATATAAGGGTTTAATATTGGTATAAAATATATGTACAGAATCGTAAGATCAAATAACAAACATGAAAGATAATCACATTTGGCACTTGTATGCGCAATAAAATAGCGGAAAAATACCCGTGTCTTGTATAGTCGTAATAATCTCCAAGAGGGAGCCCCATATAATATGTCTATGTGTGACGTGTCTCAGTGGTAGAGCGTTGAGCTACATAGCCGGGTGGTCGAGTGTTCGAACCTGGGCCGAGGTAAAAATTTTTCATCTGTGGCAGAGATGGGAATTTCCACGTTACTCCGAATTAGGTTTTCCTGCTTTCGTAAAGTAAATACCGGAGTAGTATAGAACAGCTTAAGAAATAAATAAATAATTAAATAAATAAATGTATAAAGAAATAAATAAATAAATAAAATACATAAAAAATCTCCCGGAGCATGACACAATCCGAGAAAAAAAATCGTAATTGAATTTTAAGGTCGAGTTGTTAAAATATAGAGATGCTGAAAAAAAAACCACTTATCTATAACTACGCATGGACGTAGAAAATATCTTCAAATACCCTAAATTGTATTAACGCTCTGTATAATAATCTTTAACCTCTAACTGGCCAATAAAACGAACCCTAAAGTAAAAACAGACATTGATAAAGCTAAAGGGAAAATTCCCTAAACATTATATCGATTACAATTACACCACAACTTGCATTTGCTACAAACGTAATTGAAGCTACATTATTACCGAAATTGTTACGTACCTAAATGAAACAGAATTACGGGTGTGCTACCAATAACAAATAAACAAAGCTACTCCTAAGTATGACCGTAACTGGATTTATAACTCATAACATTGCGCAAACTTAGACGAAAGGCCCTGCAAACTCAAGTTTGTAATAACAAGCACATATTAAAATCCATAACGCGCGTCTAGTTGTGAGCTTTCGTCCTTATGCAATTAAATAATAAATATTCCCGCCAAGATATATCCAGTGGCGTAACTTGCGTATAATAATAATAATAATAAATGCCTTTAATAACAAAGAAATAAACAATATAATGGATTACATAAAACTGGGGCGAGATTCAGTTGAAAGGTGCATTACCTCCCTCCTGCTCTTCCATCTAAACCCCAAAAGTAGATATATTTATTTAAACTAAATAATATTGAAGGCAACCAAACACAAGAAGAATCTTGACAGATGCGTGCAGGCGTGGCATTGCATTTAGTGCTCTAAACAATGTACGACCATGAAAGTATTTTATGACCAAAACCAAAAGGATTCTATTCAGCGTATAGATAGCTCTTCAGTTTACGTTTAAAGGTATTTATCGGTAGACTTTTGAGTTCTGAAGGAATTGCGTTATAGAGCTTTGAGATTTGATAGGTGAAAGATCGCTCGAAAGCGACCGTTCACAAGGTGTTGAAAGTAGCCCCCTATAACGTAAATTTAAATTGTGGATATCTGTACGAAACGTAATTTTGTTGTACAAATAAGCAGGTGTTTTTGTAATTAATACTTTGTGAAACAAACAAATTGTTCGAAACTCGCGTTGTCTATTCATACATAACCAACCAATCTCCTTTACTTTATAAGAAATATGTTCTCTTCGTTTAATGCCAAAAATCAGCCTTACTTAAACGAGAGTTTTGTAAAGTTTGAAGCTTATTACTATCTACAACTTTCAAACTAGCACCATTGAATAATAGATTTATTATTCAATGCTAGCACTATAAAGAATATCACAGAAGTTTGACCTTGGTAAGACTAATGTTTGGCACAAAAGGGTTTTCGTGGAGGTACTTAGGATGCGTCGACTGTTGTATATTAATTTAAGTGCTGCATAACTATTTAGAATGCACCGAGTTACATGTTCTGAAAATCTTAGTTTAGGATCAAGAATTACTCCCAAATTCTTTACAACTTTAGTTACAGCCACTGTCTGATTTCCTACCTGGATGTTGAGGACTTCTGCACTAGCGTCATCGATGCCAAAACATGTTACAGCGGATTTACCGGAATTTAGTATTAATTGATGTTCATTCGAAATTTTAGAAATTATATTCAGGTCAAGATTTACCTTCGCTACCGCAGTTTTCAAGTCACTCGGATAAAAAGAGTAATATAACTGTATGTCATCCGCATACATATGACATGTGACATGTTTTAGCATGCCCGGAAATGTAGATGTGTACATAATATAGAATAACGGACCTAAGATTGAACCTTGGGGGACTCCTCTGCTAACAGCTTGAAATTTGGAAATTTTGTTCCCAACTACTACAGCTTGTTGGCGGTTAATAAGATAATTTGAAATTAATTCGACTGCGGATTTATCAAAACCTAGGAAGTGTATTAATGCTATCAGGATGTCATGGTTTAATGTATCGAAAGCCTTGCTATAGTCAAGCAATACCAGAACTGTAGCCATTCCTTTGTCCATTGATCGAAATATATCATCGGTAACTTTCAGTAGTGCTGTACAACAACTATGGCCGGGCCTAAAACCGGATTGCTCCTCTGGTAAAATGTTGTTAATACTAAGGTGTCTTCTAATTTGTGAGTCAATAATTTTCTCAAAAATTTTTGATAACACGGGCAAAATACTTATTGGTCTAATGTCACTAATACTCAAAATTTCCTTCTTTTTAGGAATTGGGATCACATATGACTTTTTCCACCTGTCAGGAAATGTAGAATTTAAGATACAGAAATTAAACACATGCGTGAAAATACTTAACAAACGTGGGATACACAATTTAATTAATTCTATACTAATTTCATCGTGGCCACAAGCTTTCGATTTGATAGAATTAATGTGCTGGAGCACAGTCGCATCATCAATCGTGCTGAACGTTAAAACTGAGCATATACCGCTTTTGACATTACTTTTATAGAAATTTGTAATATCCGCATGATCATGAGTCAAAAGAAGAATATTGCCTATAAGTTCCCTATTGATATCATCAGGATTGTTAATGGATGCCGGAATTTGTGTTTCTTGGTATGCTCTTTTCTATTTTCATGCTCATTTATTCACAGACACTATATGTTTTTGAGATCTGAACACCTCCCCATTTTGGTACGAGAGGGCCATTCCCAAGAAGGTAAATAAACCTGTTGATTTCAACCAAAAACAAACGTTTCGAATTCGCAGTTTATTTGAAAAGATTGTTTTTACAGCTGCATTCTTGGCATGCTTACCTGTTACACCATAGTGTTAGTAGTACGGTACGGCACGTCCAAAATAGAATACCTGATTTAGTCAAAAGAAAATATTTGGGTAAACGTCGGCATACGTCAGTTTGATTAATTATGGTCTAAAGGGAAAGTTTTCATTCGTTACGATTTGAGACTGTAGACCAATACTTCCACCTTTGAATATAAAATTATATTCAAAGGTCATGAGTGAGTATGTTAAATTGCCACCGCTTTTCTCAATGCAATGGCGATTGTTGTTATACGTTAGAATTTAAAATTGTGGGGATTTCACGATTGTTGAATTCAAGTCAAGTGGCCCATGTATTGCACAACTAAAATGATTCACCGGTTTATCCGACGTTTACATTACCATTACCTATTGTAAAACATAATTTATTCTAACCAATTACATTATGACTAACAGATTACATTCTATAAGGTAGTGTCGTAATTTCAGTTTTGTTTTCGTTATTCAAAGCAGTTGGCATAAGTGTTGTTACTTCTGTCTTGTTACTTTTATCTTCGGACGTAATTACAGGAGATTCTGTACTGTCCGCGATTGTCATTTGGTACACCGCCTTTGCCAATTCTTGTAGGAAGTTGGCGTAAACGGTAACTGTTGATTCTAATTTCTTAGGTTCTGCTATCGCCGTTACGCAGTACTGTACGTTTTGATTAGAAGATGAATTGGCGTCGGACGTAACTACATTTTGTTGGGAAACCGTCACGTTTGAAATACAAGGAATATAAACGGCCGACGTAGTGGAATTTCCGCCAGTAGTTGCATTACATGATGTATCGTTACTTGCACAAGGTAACACGGTAATTACGCAGGTCAGGTTGTTGCCACCACCGCATGGAGTGGTGTACATTGAGTGCGTAACACACATTATCGTTCCGTTTGATAAACAGATAGCGAACGTGTTCGGTACACAAAGTCCTTGAGTCTCGTTTTTATTGCACATCAGTAACGAGTTGGTCGATACTGACATTTGTTTCGGTATGGCATTGGCGTCGTGATAATAATGGTGGACGCTGTACTGACGATCGCCGTTATTATTACTGCCGCCCCCGCCGCCTCCTAGGTTGCTGGTTAATAGATGCCCGATTAGGGCACCACCGGCAAAAGTACCGGCGTATCCTAAAAGCGAACCTCCACTCGATTGCTGCATCGGCTGATAAATCTGAGGCGAAACGCCACCCGGTGACGAATAATGGGGGTTGTAATATGTTGGAGGTGGTTGATATGAGTTGTAGGGTTGATTATAATGTCCCGCCGGGTTGTAGTTTCCTTGATACGACCCGGGGTAATGAGGTTGGTGGTTGTTGTAAGGGTTGTTCGGTTGCTGATTGTGGGGGTGTTGAGGTATCCTTTGGTTAACGTTTTCGAAACCAATTCCTGGGCCAGGTTGCGGATTTGTGTTATGATTCGTTGGTGGTAGTGGCGCAGAAGGGTTGCTGTTACTTGCAGGGTGGTAATTGTGATTTGCTGGGGGTAAAGGCGCAGAGGGGTTGCTGTTACTTACTGGATTGTAATGCGTTTGATACTGAGGTTGACCTCCGTGAGTTTGAGGCGCTCTGTTTTGCACATTTTCAAATCCGATATCCTGTCTCGTGTTTTGTGAAGGTTGATAACGTTCAAATCCTATATTTCCCTCCGTGGATCGTTGGTAATTATGTGTGGTATGAGAATTACTCCTTGGGGTCGTGTGCCCACCTCGACGGCCGCCGGTTCCATGAGTTCTTCTAGACTCACAATAACACAACAAAGTTAATAGCAACACGTACGCTAGACAATTATTTTTAACCATTCTCGTAAATAAACAGCGCACTACTTTAAAACTATCCGACAACTGAATTGTTTAGTAATTGTTGGAGGTCATCCAGGTAACAGCTGTAGGTAGGTGAAATCATTAAGTTTCTCTGGGCATGCTCGGGTTTCTCCTTTCTCCATTTGAACGAAAGGATTGAAATTATTAATCCAGACAGTTAATGGCAATGATAACAGAAATTAGTATGGCGATCTTGCACCTGTTAATAAAATTAATTACTACCTGCTCATGACGTCGATACAACGTCACGGTCATTAGATGCCCCTCAACAATGACGGCTGACTCATTAAACTTCATAGAAACTATACCTGATAGTAATTAAAACGAATCATACACATTACAACTTAATTTTCGTACAGTTACATAATTTGTTGACGCTAAATTCCAGTGGAAAACATTTTTTTGTGTATTTCACGATAGTTTATAATTCCTATATCTTTGAATGTAGTAATTAATTGCCTATCGCGTGTGTCAATCTGAAATATCACCAATTTCTAAATTGAGTCATCGCCTTGGTTTGAAAATTCACTGTGAAAAGGTTATACGCCTTGTCCTTTGCAATAATTTTATCAGTGTCGTTTAAGTTACCAGCCGTGCTTAACAATTATTATTTCAATGGCCTCAATCCCCAATCAGGAGAGAAGAAATTTATTGTGGTAATGTCGTTGCAGGATGTCGTACAAAGAATGAGGGAGATTCTTCAGCCTCTTTGTAAACAACCATTTTCATTATTAAGGATCCTCGATCCTTTATAGTTTTGTATTGTCTTCCGTCCGTCCGTTGCGCTCTAACTCTTTTTAAAAGTTTGGACATTAAGGACGGTCCCCTTTGGTTTCCAGGAAGCTAGTTCAATAGGAGCAAAAGTTACAGGACTTCGAGTGAATCGGGAACAGGAAAAACTGCGGGTTCAATATAATAGAAATCAAAATATTTCATTCCCTAGGTCATGTATCGAGTTCAGACTTTCGCTAGATTATTAACGAGCTGCTAGCGAGTTTATAATTTTGCGGTATCAGTCCGTCTGTCCGTCCGTTAGCATGATAACTCATAAACGAATGGACCGATTACGATGAAATTTTGCAGGTGAATTCTATGTCAAATTTGTAGATCAGAGTTCGTGAATTGGTAATGTAGCCCAAAAAATAAGGAACGTCCTTTTGACATCTCCGTGAGTTATGAACCGAATTGTATGAAATTCAATATGCGTATAGCTTTAGTCATATAAAACGCAATTCCAAAAATTGAGCCTAATCGATCAACATTCACAGTGCCCTTTTCGCATCTCGACAAACCGGATTGCAAACTTTCTTATTTATGAAAGTATTTTAATGAAATTTGAAACATTGCACTTTGAATAAAAGCAAATTTAACGCTAGTTTGAAAATTTGGTTTTGCGCATGCGCAGTGTCAACTTTCTTATTTATGGAGGCATTTAAATAGAAATCAAAACGTAGTTAGTTGCCTAAATAAATAAACTATACACACACGAGTGATACCAGAAATAAAGTCTAATAATAAAAATCGATACATAGCCACTTGGAATAAAACCAAATTTAACACCAGTTTTAAAATTTGGTTTTGCACATGCGCAATGTCAACTTTCTTATTTATGGACGCATTCAAATGAAATTTGATACATATAGCCACTTGGAATAAAAGCAAATGTAGCGCCATTTCCAAATTTGGTTTTGTGCAGGATGTGCAGTGCCCACTTTCTTATTTATGCAAGCAATTAAATGAAATTTTTTTACATATACACTGGTTTTGCACATTCTATAGCCATACCCAGGAGCTGGTTTTTTATATTTGTTTAGTTTATTCCGTACGACTCTTAGATGTGTAACAATTTAATATAACTCTTCTCTGTGGGGTCAAAAGTTTTAGACCAAAATGTACCAAAAATTATTTTTTACACATGAATTTGGAGTTGAAAGAGTACATCACGTGTACATTTGATAACCTCATGTGTGTGATTCAAAGATGTTAAATTATTTTTTTCTATTTCGGTATCACAATGATGATTTTGTACAACTGTTTGCGGCCGAAAACAGTTGTACAAAGACAGTGATTATAGTCGTTTTTTTAGGAACTCATCTCTTAAGTTGGCAGTTACTAGTTAGTGCAAGTAGGTACTTTGTTGGGTACTTCCATGTTTGAACTTCAAAATGTCAGTCTTACTACGCTGCCAACCTAAAACTTAACGGCATAAAAAGTGTTCCCAACATAAAACATGTTAGTTCTAATGTTCCCTATAGTTTCTGATAATGATTTTTTAAATTAAATTAAAGCACCGACATAGAAAAAATAGTATGAAAAACGCGTGTTACAATGCTTTATTGTAATACTCCTATCTTGCGGACACTCGTGGCTACGCTTCGCGTCGCCACTCGTGCCACAAGATAGTCGTATTACAATAGGTCGCATTGCAACACTTGTCTTTCAATATACTATTCTGAGGCCACATGGATTTTGATAAAAATATGTCACAATCGTTATTTATGCACCAAGATCGTTGGGAAAAAAACCAACAGCAGTACGAACCTAACTGGAGCATTCACTGCGCTTTGATTCCATTCACATCCTGTATAGACCTACATAGGTCTAACCAGAGAGTTTGACGCTTTTTGCAAAGCCGTGATTATAGAATCTTCATGCTTCGGGAACGACCTCGAAGGTTTTGAGAACGTCAAGGCTCTAACCGCGTTTTACAAAACATTAGAACTTCCTCATTTTTTAGTTTTAGGTGCTCTTTAACGATACTACAGCGCTATAGGGTATTTTTTCTTTCTTGAGCTCCAAGTGCTTTCACGTATTGAGTTTTATTAATGTTTAAAGTTTGCTTCTAGGAGAATTTCAGGTTTTTTCCAGAACTTTTTACCGGAAAAGACTAATAATGCCCATTTAAGTGATGCTTTCCAGGGCTTCTTCTGAATGTTAACTTCCCGATTGTTAGCTTTCAAATACTGCCCTTCAGAAATTCAACTTAGGAATATAAGCTCTGAATAAACTGGCACGTCTTCGTTCATTCGCTCCCATAATATTCGTTTCCGGAAAATCCACATTCGGAACAAAGCGTTTCCTCTGAACTCCAATTTAGGTTACTTAATCGTCTTTCAAATATTCTTAAAGCGGAGGTTCCTGGCGGCTAAATATTTATTAAAGATACCCGGAGAATTTTGAAAACTTTTGGAAACCTTTTGGAAACCTTTAAGAGTAATTTTGAATCTTATTAAAGCTGATTTTTACAGGCCCATAATAAATACTTTCAAAGACTAACAAACAATTTCAAAGGATCGACTTTCAAGGAGGTGAGGGAAGCATAAGGGCTGTAAAAAGGTAGAGATTCGAAAGAGCTATTCAAAACACTCTTAACCGTACTAAGCGTTTTAAAGGCACTTTCAAAGACTTTAAAAGGCAATTAAAGGCTCTCAAAGTCTCTATAGCACCCAGATAGTATCTTAGAGACTCTTGAAAATCTGTGGAGACTCATAGACACTTTTAAGAGTGTTTAAGAAGTTTTTTAAGGTCTTTAGAGACTTTATTAGCCTTTACGAGCTCAGAGTAAACACTTCGTTTCGGATGTGAATTTTCCGAGAAGGGATATTACAGGGCCGAATATTCCCTGAACAAAGACATGTGCGGGTCGGTTTATTAAGAGCGAATATTCATTAGACGAATTTTTTGATGGAGTATTTGAAAGCTCATAATCCGGAGGCTAACATGCTCGGGCGACTAAAAACTTTAACTCGTTGCCTTCGAGAATATAAACATCACTTTTATGCCCTTAATACATAAATAGCTATTATGGTTTACAAATTCTTAAACGCTCACGACAAATTTCTCAACGATACTTTTACAGCGCATTGATACTTTCGAGATATATTAACACTTTTAAAGATTCTTAAAAACGCTTATAGACACTCTACGAGTATATGCTTCCAACGTTAAGTATCAAATGCTCTTAGTGACCTTTAGGGACCCTCAAAAGCACCAGAAGTCCTCCTAGCAAAACTAAATACCACTGAAAGTGTATGAAGATAATTGACTATTTTTCAAAACGTCAATGACAAAGGCTTCCAAAGAATAATTAAGTCTCCAGGATTTTAAACAATTTTGAATGCCATTAAAAATTTTAAAGACAATGAACTGATTTTATTTAATGACAGATGTTAAACTGGCAGTTAAATAGGTTTGAGTAGATAGCTAGCGATAATGTGACCACTTTAACCACAAGGTTATATAAAGTGAAACAGATGGTTGTGCATTGTAATGCCATCTGTCATTCTTATTTCGGATGGGACACGGAGCACGAAATAAAATTAAGTTAGAACATAAGACAATGCTGTTTCTATGGAAACGTCCGTGACGGCAGAACCTAAGCTTGCTATTTTTGACATATACATTAAATTCAGAATCGTCAGAAGCATTACAATGATTGATATGATTTCTGCCATAAAATAAAGTACTAAAGGGAAACTAACCATCTTGTGAAAGTTAATTCACTCAATAGCTAAAATATCCCTTTAACGTCTTATATAATAACGGCTCAAGTAAATGTCGAGAAATTGTGGCGTAAGAAGTGTGTAGGCAAAAATTAGGTTATATCTATCCCCAAGAAAAGATAGAGCACTTAACTATAAATAGTCTTTTATTCTGGAAATAAGAACGTTTCCTGAAGATCTTCACCATCTCTCGTATCGATTGTAGAATATGATCTTACTCTCCGTGAAGTGAAGAATCCTACTCATTGCTACATACCAGTAACATAAGCAGGTAATCCACATAAACATAAAACAATTAAATAGTGTAAACTATCGCAATAGTGAATCAGCATTTCCTCAAGGTGTGACCTAATGAGTAGTCTCATAAACAACGACATTACGTAGTATGTTATATCTTTTTCCACCTTCGATGAAGAACATATAGGATAAATTTATTTTTTGTGATTATTCGGGTCCTGACTGTCCGGTAATGACGGCTCTACCGGGAAGGGAATATGATACAATTTTTATTTATTTACTAGCTGCCCGACCCGGCTTCGCACGGGTGTTTATAATTTTCGTATTCGTAGTTACAAGGTTGGGATGGATGTGTATGATGTTGGTTACAGCAAAAATAATACCTTAAAATTTGGATTGAAACCCCTTTCCCGAATTAT